GTTCAACATTGGCTGGTGCAAGGAAGTTCGGAGTTATATATGGCTGAGTGAGGATTTTCTGGAAGTCTTCGAAACTGAAGGAGTCACCAGACTGGGATTGTGAAGCAGCCATTAGGAACGAAATAGAGTTTGTCGAAGTTACGTAGCAGAGATGCAAGAAGATGAACAGTGATATTGCAATAGAGAAGCGTGAAACAATGAGGCGTGATTTAGTGGTGCAATAAAATGACGTGTATTTGGGGGTTATAAGGGTTTGCAAATGTCGCACCTTTTCAGGCTATGGAAGAAAACAATGATTAAAATTCTTGGAAATTTCGAATGTTGTTGGGAAACACCAAGTGAATATGGCAAAAATTAATAATTGGTATTAATTCTGTCATATTGGGGGGTAATTGTTGACACACAAAAGTTCAGCCCAAATCGAATAACCCAAGGAATGAAGCCCAATTAGAGGATCTCCAAATCAGATAGCCTAAAGAACGACCCAATCAGGCAATGCAGGATAAAGGCCCAAATAAAGAAGCCCATGAACGCGGTAATACCTTCGTCCAAGGTTACAAGTCGTCCAAGATTTGAGTGAATGGATTGCCATGCAGTCGCCCAGAACTGTGACCCTGTTCTCGCCCAAACCTTCGAGTCGCCCAAGATCTTAGCAAACATAAGATGTTATGATTACCCAAAGGTGCGGTTAATGAAACAGTTATTGAGTAGCTCTATCACTTTCCACGATTCAAGGAATTCAATTGAAGACGGTTGAACGACAAAAGGTAATGACAGCAGTTAGAGAAGACAATTCTATGACAAGTTGGCCACTATGAAGAAAGTGGGCAATTATAGAGTGATCAAGTAATTTTTAAGCAGTTGATCACGAAGAGATCATTCAGGAAGTATAAAAGGAAGAAAAGACATGGAGCAAAAGACCCCGAATCAAACACTCTCAAACAGAGAATATGTAACTTTCAATTTCTTAGTTTATATTTAAACACTTCTTTTCAGTAACTCGTATGCTTGCGCCCCTTGGAGGCATTCTGTTTTTATTTTCCAATTGTAAAATCATTGTTAATAAAAACACCCCTTTTTGAGACTTTGTCTCAAGAGGTTTGTCCCTTACACAATCGTCGATCCCTTTTTAATTGTTAGCGACTAACCTGCGCGAAACAGTTAGAATCGTAAATGCTACAACAAGAAAAGTTTATGAATTTTGAGTGTGTGGTGTAACTAATAAAAATCATAATATGAATATGGTCATACTATCATATTTCCATTGTGTGGACATAGCTGCCATGCTATGCACATTATTTTTCTATGTCAAATTTTGTATTGGGGACAAGTCAACAAATGAAGCAATCGATAATTTTATTTTTTAAATTAAAGTTGAGATATTCGAATATTGTATATCAAATATATTAAAATTTAAGTTTGGTAAAACTATAGAATCCGTTTGATTGTAAAGATGAAATTTAGATAGAAAGAAAACGAATTTTAGGGAATTGAATTGCCTAAAAATTGTTTTCCTAGGAATTGTAAATTATTGTGTTTAATTGATGTAATTTTTTACGTGAAAAATGTTGAAATAAAATTTTTTTTTTGTTCGTTTGGCTTTGTTTTACATGAAAATTATCAATTAAAGAGATAAAATTTATTGGTATTAGGGATAGAAATCATTTCAATTGCCCAAAAAAAAGCCAATAAAATCATCTATCTTTTGGAGTTCGTTTGTCTTTGTTTTACATGAAAATTGTCAATTAAAGGAAAATATTTTTTTACAATTAGACATAATTTGTTCCCATTGCTAAAAAAAAAAAAGGTTGTTTGGAATTCCAATTCTCACTAAACCCATAAGAATTGGAATTCCTCAAAAATCTAGAATTCAGGCGTGTGATTGGAAAATTTGGAAATTGAATTCCATGGTAAAAAAATCAAATCAAACAATGCAAAATGTGGAAATTCCACTTTCCATGAAAAGATGGCCAATCAAACAAATCCTAAATGTATAATTGCATTAAGCACGAGGCTCCAGAAAAAAGTTAAATTTATTTATCAATTCCGAGAGGTCATTATAAAGTTCAAGAAAATTTAGTCTAATTTCGGTTATCAACTCTTTTTTGTCAGGAGAGTTGGTTTTGAGCCTTGAGATTTTGACAAATTTTTCATCATTTTGGGATCAAGCACCCAATTATATTGTTTTACCAAATATTCAAGGATCATTTATTATTATTATTATTGCTAATTTCTGAATTTTAAGTTAATTTTTGTCTTACATTAGGATTATTGATTGTATCGTATAAATAAGATACTAAAGCGCATCCTAAAGATTGTAATGACAGATAAATAAGTTTCGTTATAAGTTTTTTAAATTATAAATGGCGTCTCCTAAGCTATATGACATTGTCGAAAATTCCCCTTGCATTATAAAAATTACACTTTCCCTATTTGCTCTGAGTATTACATACACCCTTGACCTCTTCTTGAGTTGTATACAATCTAAAATTATGCTAATATATCTAAAATGCTATTATAAAGAAAGATATGAAATATTCTGCAATTAGTTGTAATTTAATTTGTTCACTTTAATGATAAATTAATATTTTGTGACTTTATGTATACATAATTCTTCATTTCAATCAAATAAAGCCACATTCTTAATAAAAGATAATTTTTTTTTTCTCCCATGCTAGTGTTCGAGAATTACAAAAGAGAAACAATATATTTTTTGTCTCAAAAGATCCCAAATAAGTTTCTCTTTTGCACCATTTTTTAAAATTCATTTTTCTCTCAAATTCATTTTTAACCATACGTTTCTCGTGCTCCATACATCATATTTCATCTATTTTTATCTAAATTTACTAAAAATTTAATTTTTATCTAAACAAAACATGGAAGCTCCACCTCCCCCTCCCTTTACATTGATTGAATAGTGGGCTGTGTTAGTTTCCATACTAATGGTTGTATGAGACCCAAAATGAAAAAATAAAAAAAAATCATGGCCTTAAATGACTCACAAGATCAACCCATTGGGTCATATGAGACCAATATTAATTCTTGAAAAAGTTAAGAAAACAACCCCAACCATCCAAAGGCCTCAAATCAGGAAATAGATAATATCTTTTCTTTTCTTTTCTTTTTTAAAGAAAAAAGGTCCACGTGGGCTATGCAGCCTACAACACCAATCGATTCGTGCTAAGCTACACATGTTCGTATCTAGCACATTTTATTTTACACCTCTATCGATATTGACACTTTTTAAAAGATAGATATATGGCCATTATAGGAGAAGCAAAGAACTTTCTTCCGGCTTCTAATAGTTGAATTCTCACGATTTTTAGGTAATAAACCTACTTCAGAACACGGTAAGTTAGTACAAGCAGCTGCATTTTGTAGATCATTCTCCAAATGGACCGACCATCTTGATATTTTGATGGAGATGGATTTATAACATATGGTAAATCAATACATCAGATTATTTTGTCAACGATTAAGGTTTCTGCCCATGTTGGATTTCTTGAAGAATGAATAATGCTTTCTTGTAAAATGAATTTACGATCTTGAATGACAGATATTTTTTCTAAACTGACCAATGATAGATTGTTATGTCACATTCTATCTATCAACTGAAATGGTAGTAAAAAGTTTGTTAGAAGAATATCCTTCTCCTACATGTCTACCCCTTCTTGATAATAATTTGTAAGATTTTTATATCCCATTATTCCCTCAACAATAATTGTCTTTATTATAGATGGCCTATGGAGATGGAATCTTCCTATTTGAATAAATTTCTATTCTTTTTGGGTTTGGTGCCGAAGTGAGATCAGTTGGACTTCGACATGGTATATTTATAATTATGACATGAAATGGATCATACCATCACTTAAACTCATTGTCTGAAGACTTTTAATCTTTCACCAAATCTAAGTTGTGCATATGTTTTTGGTAAAAGTAGATATCACAAAACTAAATCTATTTCATGGGGTATTGAACAAGGGTTTTAGTTACTGTGATAACGTTCCAACCCAATTAAATTCATAATTTCAAACTTAACGTTAACAATTAAGCACGTAATTCACTTAATAACATTTAAAACAAGTTGACGTTTATGTATCACGGGAGTGTGAATTCTTCTTCCTTCTTTTCCTCAACATACAATTATACTCGTACATTTCCCACATATCCTTAATTTAAATAATCTTTTCTATCTTTCTAACGTGATTTCTGTTGAAATCAAGAAATCTACGTTGATGGAATTTTAACACTAATAGACATCAATGTAGTGAAAATTAAAAAATAAAAAATAAAAAAAAATTTGGAATCGGCATAAAGGAACAAAGTTGCTTAAGCTCACATCATTTTGTTGGTTTGACCCGTTCCATTCTGGCCTGTAAGCCAATCTACCTTTCTTTCATTAAGTCAACAACATGAATTCTTTTTTTGGCTACTTTTTCAATGAGTTAACCATTCCAATGGTCACTAAATTTAGGTTTACGTCTTTAATTGATCACAGAAGTTTAAAATGTCGAACTTTAGTCACTAAACTTAGGTACATGTCTTCGATTACTCACTGAAATTTAAAATATCGAGTTTTGGCCACTGAAAATTGTAAAATGTAGTACATTACTTACTAATATAAATTTTGAACTTTAAAAAATGTCGACTTTATAATGAGTAATATAAAATAATTTTCTAAGTTCAATGACCAAAATTTGACATGTTAAACTTCAGCGAGCAATCGAAAACATGAACATAAGTTCAATGACCAAAACTCGACATTTTAAACTCAAGTAACCAATCAGTAACATGGACCTAAGTTCAATAACCATTGGAACAATTAAGTCCTTCAATTATTAAACTACAAAAGATCAAAACAAGGGGAAATACATATATCCACAAACGTATATTTTTGCATTCTTAAAATTTTCTATGAATAAATTTGAATATAAGGAAGGAAATTGGAGTTCCTTTCAAATTTAAATTGATCAAATTTAAAATTAAATATAATGACGAGATAAAAATAAAAATCAAATTATAATTAATAGATCACAAGTCCGTAAGGCACAAACCATGGTATTTCAGCACAAAAAACACCAATTATTATGAACACAATTACACAGTCATGATTGATACATACAAATGTATATATAAGAATCGATCAAAACCTAACTCCGGCACTGCGTGACGGCGGAGCACCCCCGGGTATAGGGGTTAGCTTGAGCACCTGGACGGCAGTTGTAGTACGACGCGCCTCTCCTCGAGCACGGCACATTATTAGCTTGCAGCGCGCCATAGCTAATGTACTTGGTGGTTGCTAGAATGCGCCGATTGATTTCAGAATCCATTTCGAATTCACCTCCGTCGATGCAATCTGCTAGTGATCCATTGCACCGTGGTTTTACATCCATCCAGCTGAACTCGTTGTCTCCAGCATTAACGGAGGCGATGAGCAGAGCCGCCACCAGCACGGCAGAGATTATGAAGTGGCGAAAGAGAGAATTATGCATTGTTTGGTGTTTGTTAATGGTTTCTTTCATAGGAGAACTTGGTGATAAATAGAGCGGGCTGGCATGGGATTATGAAATGAGCCATTATATTACCACCACAATTTTTATTTTACACACCATATTTTAATTGCAGTTAATATTCTCAATCTTTGCTCATTATAACAATTATTTTCTAAGCTTTTTTTCGTTGAATCCTTATCTTCAATCTTTCATTAATTAGTACATATCGTTCTTAATGATGATTTATATCAAAATATTTCGTTTTCATGCTTTGAAATGATGGAATACTATTTTTTTTTTGCACTTTTTATTTATTTAGTTTTTAGAAATATAATTAGAAAATAAATTATTCTACACTATTTCAACATACTTTTGGACATAAATTTATTATTAAATACAGAATGCATTAATTAATAGAAAGTTTAATGATAATAATGATATGAAAAATATTTAGTGACATAAATGTTATAACGAACAAAGATTAAGAACTTTAAGTGTAATTAAAATGTTGTGTAAAAAGTAAAAAAAGGTTGTGTGAATATAATTATCCTTATAAAATTAGTACTAATATTCTTTGAATTTACTAGTTTGCCACTCCACTTGTTAATTTCTTATGTGCTTGTTTGGTAGAGATTTTGATAATTGATTTTTTGACGTTTAGAGATAAAGTGGGTGCTACCTGTAAGAGGAGAATTTAAAAATGATTGCTGTAATAGTGAAATAATGTTTAGAGAAAAATGCATATAACCTTTAAAATTATAGTTGTCCTAATTTTTGACCCAATTATTATAATAATTAATATTAAACCTACTACGAAGGTTATGGATAATAATATAATCCTTAAATCAACTGGCTGCAGACGGTGGTCTTATTATAATGCTTATTATATTGCTGTAAAGAAGTTGAAATCTTCAATGCTTGAAAGTTGAGTCTTTCAAAACCTACCAAACAATTGACTTATTCGAAAATTTTAAAAGCATGATTTAATTAATTAGAGATTAAGGGTTTAATATTTTTTTTAAATTTTTTTTTATAATATTTTCTCTTTTAAAAGTTGGATAAGAAGTGGACTAGTTACCGCCGATTAGATTGTTGAAGAAATGTGAACACAAGTTAGAAAAATCTCATCTCAACCTAGTGAGGCAAAAGCTTGTTATCGATTTGAAAGAAAAATCATTGTTGTCGATAATGTATATAGTGTAGTTCAACACCAATTTCTCAACCATAGGAAGACTTCGTTTGTGCAATTGTGTACAGTTCAATATATCAAACATATTGTAACTATAAGTGCCTTCGATTTTCTCAAGTCAATTAACAACTTAGGAATTGTTTATGGAATTTTGCATTTAAATTGTGATTTTGATAGGGATTAATGCAATACCCCCCCACCCCCACCCCCACCCCTTCTCTCTTCTCTAGAACTTGAAACAGCTGGATTGGGTTTATAGTTAATTGCATTATAAAGGAATTAGGTTTGAAATTTGTTAACATAAGAGAAAAGTAGTCGGCACTGTGGCCTCACACGTTGTTTCAATTAGTATTATTTAAATGACTAAGAAAAGATATCATTAAAGAAATTAAATTTATGTAAAACCTAAAAACACAGAATGGAAGTCACGTCACAACAAACGAGTTTAGTTCAATACTTTGAAATCAATGATTCAACATTATTAATTATTAGATTAGGATATAAATAAACCTTGATCCTTGAACAAATTCCTCTAATGTTAAACCTCCATAGGTCAACAACTTAGACGAGCATTAGCCCCATACACGGTTTTATAATTTTGCCAAGACGGTGTTTTTGGTAAACACTTAGCCTGACCTCATCATTGTAATCCCCTTTGAGAAGAGGCATCCCTTCTCGGAAGTTAATAGAATATTTTGCCAAATTCATTAAAAAGAATTGTCTCATACTTCTAAGCATTCTCTACCAATTCAGCGTTTCTTTTTGATCCCTATTTATCAGTCAAGGGAGACTAAGTTCGATATGTATAATGGGTTAACATGCTACCCGAATCTTCGGAAGTCTCGAAAAAACACAATGAATTGAATAGGATTGAGGAAGAAAGAAGCAAATCCGTTTTCAAGTATAATCCAACATCATATCAGTTTCTCCAAGGAGGCAACTTAAAAACAAATGACTTTCCCAAAGTTAAAGAAAAAGGGAGAATGGGAAACAGAAGATTAGTCATTAACAAAGGAAATATTTCTGATTTTACTATTCTATGAATTCAGAGATAAATGCAAAAAGAGACTATTTTGAAAGAGTTTCAGGACAAAGTTAAAACTTCGACACAACACTCGGCCTTTTCTTGACAAATTTGAGAACGACTACATTTCGTGTTCATTTCAATCCATCCTTCCTCTCGGACTTGTTAGCTGGTCTAGAACAAGCTGTCTATGGTTTAGTTTAAAAGAGTTCTATCAAAATTGTGCGAGCCTCCCACGGGGCCTGGTAGAAAGGATTTGAACCAGGTCACATAAGGTTATGTTGTTCGCTATTCAAGAATTCTTGTTTAGGAGATGAAAGACTCACTAAACCGGTCCATTCCATGGACCAAGAACAATCGACCAGTGGATCACTCTTGCTTTGATTATGATTGGGCAATTATGTTACTAATAACTAAATTGGTGATTTAAGATGTCTTGACTGGATATGATCAGCAATAGTTAATTAATAGGGAAATTATACAGTAAAATAGCATATTTCGTTTTGAAATGTCACTGAAAGCCTGCTTATAGGTACTAATAACAGAGAAAGTGGCATTATAAAACCCGAACTCTATCAATAGCTGAATCTTGTGTAGTAATCATCCTAAGTTGTACATTCATTCTCACTTCCTCCAGCAAAAAATAAGCTCCTTAATTCGATACTTAATTTCAAGACATCACATATATCGAACATAAAAGTTAATGATGGAGAATTAGAAGGGATATTATGTCTATTTAGTTTTCAATTTTAAAGCAAATTTTAGTAAATGTTATTAGTGTTCGATTTATATTACCTTTTATAGCATTTTCTTAGAATAGGGTCTTTGAAACCCTATATATAAAGGGATCTTATGCAATGTAATGAACCTG